TGCTAGTTCACTGCACTGGATGTATTGCAAATCAAGCAGGTAATGCATTTCTCTGAAAGCAATCGAACTCTCATAATGATATAGCAGTAGAAATTTTAAGCTGAGGTGCACATTTCAAGATCTTTAAAATCAGTCAATAGATGCTACATCAGCAGGGAAATGGTAATTTGTCAGAAATGCCTGCAAGAGTCAAAGAGCTATCATTTCACAAATTCTGTATACCAGATTCTAAATGAGGAATCTTATAATCATTGAATCCTAGACTTGGAAGAGACCTCATGGACCATCCTGCCCAGCCTCCCGCCAAGAAGAAGGAAAATCTTAATTAAAGCACTCCTGACAGATGGCCATTCAGCCTCTGTTTAAAAGCCACCAAGGAAGGAGTCTCTACCACACTCTGAGGCAGAAAGTTCCACTGCTGAACAGCTCTCACAGTCAAAAAGTTCTTCCTCATGTTCAGGTGGAATCTCCTTTTCTGTCGTTTGAATCCATTGTTCTGCGTCCTAGTCTCCAGAGCAGCAGAAAACAAGTTCGCCACCCCCTCCCTATGACTTCCCCTCACATATTTATACATGGCTATCATGTCTCCCCTGAGCCTTCTCTTCTGCAGGCTAAACATGCCCAGTTCTTTAAGCCACTCCTCATAGGGCTTGTTCTCCAGAACCTTGATCATTTAGTTGCCCTCCTCTGGACAAATTCCAGCTTATCAACATCTTCCTCTGAAACCATTTTATATTGGAAAACTGGAGGGTAATTATGTTCAAGCCAAAAGAGCTCGCATATGGTAGCAGAGACCAAGGTTCAAATCCATGCTCAGTCCTGGAAAACCACTGACTGATCTTGGGAAGGCTGCTCCTTCTCAAAATAAGGCAAATCCTCCTCTGAACTATGCCATAAACCAGAAATGACTTAAAGACACACAATAACAACAAATTATACTAAACCAGCTGACACCAACTCAGGAACGCCTGTTCACACTTTTACACATGGCCCAAACTCAAAGAAGTTGCGGTCTAAATTTAATTTTTAACTGAGCAGGTTGAAGCAATCATTGTATCGACTATGAAAATGCAAATACTCACCGTTATTCTGTTTCAAAACTACTCCCTCCCCCATCAAACAAATGTGTTATTGAGCCGACTTCTTTGGTGGGTGACCTAATTGTTTGAATCAACTGTTCTGGACAAGACCTTCCTTTCTAAACACAACTGTTTATTCCAGATTAGAACACAAAGTAAAACAAGTGACAAATCCACAAGATACGTAATATCTTAGACTCATACACACACACACACACACACACACACACTTGCAGTTGAATTAATCCTTACGGTTTCTGTTTTGGTCCGGAATTTAACCACAAAAGTTCACCACTTTCCCAAAGGGTGACAAAAAAACACACAAACAAACCAATTTCTGGACCACTTTTATACCATCTGGATGTCTCCCAGGCAATGCCTCTGTAGATGGCCAATTCTCTCACACCAGAAGCAACTTAGAATCATAGAATCATAGAATCAAAGAGTTGGAAGAGACCTCATGGGCCATCCAGTCCAACCCCCTGCCAAGAAGCAGGAATGTTGCATTCAAATCACCCCTGACAGATGGCCATCCAGCCTCTGTTTAAAAGCTTCCAAAGAAGGAGCCTCCACCACACTCCGGGGCAGAGAGTTCCACTGCTGAACGGCTCTCACAGTCAGGAAGTTCTTCCTCGTTCTTCCTTGCAGTATATTCTCAATTTGCTTCTGATGCAATTAAAAAAAATAATCACGTACTAACCAGGGCTGGCCCTGCTTAACTTCAAGGTCAGACAGGATTGGGTTCACTTGAGATATGTACCCAATCCAGACTTGTGTCACATTAGATACAAAGAAAAAACAGCAACAATAAATCTCTGAAATATCTCAGTTCAAAATTATATACAGGCTGACTATTCCTCATTCTGAATTCTGAAATCCCAAATACTCCAATATCCAAAACTGTCCAATATGGGTGGCTAGATGGTAACACCTTTACTTTTTTTAAACAAAATTATTAAAAATGCTGTGTATAAAATCGCCTTCTGGTTATATGGATAAGGTGTATATGAAACAAATGACTTTTATGTTTAGAACTAAGTTACATCTCCAAGATATTTCATTGTGTATTTGCAAGGATTTCAAACTCGAAAGAAAATCCAAAATATGTAACACTGCTGGTCCATTTTGGATAAGGAACACACAAGCATTTCACATGTACACTTAACCCCATTCCTTTTTTAAAAGTCATCCTTTTCTAAGGGCAAAGTCTTGCTGAAAAACTTGAGCACAGTCCGTGTGTCCCACCTGTTTTTAGCGATTCCTCAAAATAACATTAGATACAGGTAGTCCCCGAGTTACAAACATCTGACTTATAAACAGAATAGTTCAGAACGGGGTGAGACAACAGGAGGTGAGAGAAATCTACCCCTAGGAAGCAAAATTTGCTCCTGAAAGAATTATCATAGGGAAAAGGGGTCTCCGCTGAAGCTTTAGCACCAATCTTTGTTTCCACAAGAAGCATAATTTTTCAAAATTGAATTATCACAGGGACAGAAAGTGAGGTGAGATCTTCTGAACAGGGGCACAGACAGCAATGCAAACACCGCAAAGGTGTTTACCCTTCCCAATGCTATCCAATGAATATGTGTGTGTATGTGTGTGGAGCTAAACTTTTAAAATGTACCTGTTCCAACTTACTAACAAATTCAACAAACCTACAGAACCTATCTTGTTCATAACTTTGGGACTGTCCGTACTTGGAAGTATCTAAAGATATGAAGTTCCAAACATTAAAGGAGGGATTTATACTAGCCAAACGAACAGCCAAGTCTGCCTTTGCACCTTCAAACTCTGTTGAGAGCAGGAGTTGCTCTACAGACTGAGTTTGAGCTATCTGTCTCTTTGGGCAAACGGTCCCACAAGCAGACATTGTTTCCATGCTTTTCCAGTAATAGGGAGCACATCTTCCTGGGATTCTTGCCACCAGCAAGTCATCATTTCAATCCCAACTATTTGCACATGGAAAGTTAAGCTCCAAAGCTGAGAGAAGCACAATTCCTATAGAAAAACTATATCCAAATCAGAAAAGTCGGATGTTAGGCAAAGGGAAAGGTATCCTAGCTTAATCCATCATGTAGAGACGCATTCTACTTTTTGTCCAGAATAGGAAGACTTTTAGAAAAGAAGTTGTTCATAGAAAAGCAAGCATATTGATTAAAAGGACCAAAAGATTGCTGGACCATGCTTGCTTGAAGAGGCTTTACGAATACAGTTGGTCCCCCATTTCCACAGATTCTGTATCCATGGATTCAGATATCCACAGCTTGGAAATATTATCCTGCTCACCGAAAAATTCCAAAACTTTTCCATAAAGGACATCATTTTACTACACCATGGCAGGAACATCTATGGGTCTTGGTTATCCACATGGGTCCTAGAACCCAATCCCAGTGGATACCTATTATATTCCAGTGTAATGCTTTCTAAGAAGTAAGTTTAGGATTGCATAAGTAAGCTTAAGTAAAGGTAAAGATTTCCCCATGACATTAAATCTAGTCATGTCGACTCTGGGGGGTGGTGCTTATCTCAATTTCTAAGCTGACGAGCTGCCGTTGTCCGCAGACACCTCCAAGGTCATGTGGCCAGCATGACTGCATGGAGTGCAGTTACCTTCCCACCTAAGTGGTATCTCTATTGATCTACTCACATTTTCATGTTTTCAAATTGCTAGGTTGGCAGCAGCTGGGACTAACAATGGGAGCTCACTGCTTTCATGGATTTGAACCACTAACCTTCTGGTCAGCAAGTTCTGTAGCTTAGCGGTTTAACCTGCTGCACCACTGCAGCCCCAAGTAAGCTTAGGATTACAATATTATTTGGAAATATCAACGGGCGCAGGAGACTATGGGCAGAGAAGGTCTAACTTCATTTAACTGAAAACCATTGAAAGTTATAGCAAGTAAGAATACATTTGTAAGCAAATCAACTGATACCAGCAGGAGAGACACTCACGGCAAGGCAAGGCATGGGACAGCATCCATGCAATTACAGTTAGCAGTGGGATACTTGCTTTCTATTGATATTCAAGCATCTCTTAAAAGTAAAACCAGTGCACATGCCCACAGGACCAACCTCTTACACTGTGATCCAGATAAGGTAAAAGTAAAGGTTTTCCCCTGACATTAAGTCCAGTTGTGTCTGACTCTGGGGGTTGGTGCTCATCTCCATTTCTAAGCTGAAGAGTCGGTGTTGTCCATAGACACCTCCACGGTCATGTGGCCAAAATGACTGCATGGAGTGCCACTACCTTCCCGGCCTGAGCGGTACCTGTTGATCTACTCACATTTCCATGTTTTTGAACTGCTAGGTTGGCAGGAGCTTGGGCTAACAGCGGGAGCTCACCCTGCTCCCTGGATTTGAACCTGCGACCTTTCAATTAGCAAGTTCAGCAGCTCAAGTGGCCATTCTGCTGCTTTAAATCTTTCTTTTCAAAAATGAATCACATCTACACTATAGTTCACATCTCATTTGAGATAAACGCGGGACAGAACAACAACAAGAATAACAACAGAATGAGTGCAGCTTGAGAGCACTTGCATTGCCATGACTCAATGCTACAGAATCATAGGAGTTGCAGTGTGTTGAGGTTGTTTGCCAGGGGGAGGCTTGTCAAACTACAACTCCATTTGTATTTCAAGCAGTCTCGAACTGCATTCATCCCACAGTGGAGATGCACCCCAACGAAGGGCAAATGCTCAAGGAAAAATCGAAGACAGTGAAGACTGTGCAGAGAGAGAAAGAGAGATTGCACATCCACAGCTTAAAAAAACCCCATACCCCTATTTAGTCTTGAAAGAGTCCTTCCTTCCTTCTTTCTTCCTCCCTCCCTCCTTCCAGTGCCTATTCTCTCACAAAAGCCTGACACTTTGGAGCCACTTTGGGAGCCCTCCAATTTCCGACGGCGTTGTGTGCCAAACTCACCCCCAAAGCACGAGAGCAGACCTCCAAGTGTGCTGAGCGTCTCTCCCTCCAAAGAATGCAGCCAAAAGCGAGGGATCAGGATGGATCCCGCCAGGATCCCGAGCCGGACCGCGAGGGAAGGGAGAGGCAGGCGGACTGGCTCCGGTCTGAGCCTGGGAGCCCCGTCAGGTTGAGAAGCGCTCGCGAGCCGAAGGGAAACCTCCCCGCTTCCTGTGACATCAGTGCAGCAGACCCCGCCTGGGCCAGGATTGAATTACTCCTTTCTGCCTCCAAGAGCACACACACACACACACTCAGGCAGAGGATCACAGGGGACCCCAGAAACCTCCTCCAGTCCTTTTCTCCTCTATGCTGGAAGCTCTATCGCCAGCAGAGGGTTTAGTTTACACACCTTGCTCTGTATATGCCTGTTCACAAGGTCAGGGGTTTGGGAGGATTTCTCTTGGGCCATCCCAACTATATCCCCTCAATTTCACTGCTATGGCTCAATGCTATGGAATCCTAGGAGTTTAAGAAAAAAACTGCAAGTCGCTTCTGGTGTGAGAGAATTGGCCATCTGCAAGGACTTTGCTCAGGGGATGCCCCGATGTTATGATGTTTTGCCATCCTTGTGGGAGGCTTCCCTCATGTCCCTACATGGGGAGCTGGAGCTGACAGAGGGAGCTCATCCGCTCTCTCCTAGGAGGGTTTTTTATTTTAAAAAACTGCAAGTTGCTTCTGGTGTGAGAGAATTGGCTGTCTGCAAGGACTTTGCCCAAGAGATGCCCCGATGTTATGATGCTTTACCATCCTTGTCAGAGGCTTCTCTCATGTCCCTGCATAGGGAGCTGGAGCTGACAGAGGGAGCTCATCCACTCTCTCCCCGGATTCAAACCTCCTACCTGTCCGTTTTCAGTCCTGTTGGTCTTATTTATTTATTTATTTACTAGCTCCTTTAGCTTTGATGGTTCTGTAGAAAAGAGAACTATAGCAGGGTGTTGCTTTGTGGACCAACCTATTGAAAGTCTCTCTTCTATGCAACCATTCAAGATACAGGATACATCTCCAGTTTTCATTTTAGCTATTCTATAAACTGGATACTATAAGAACATCCCTACATAGAGAGTAAGAGATATGGGGAGCGTCACCGCAAGATATTTTGCTGCCTGGGTCAAAGGACAAGTTGCTCCCCATTTTCATGTTGGCCATGATGCCCCTTAGGGCTCGTATACATGAACAACTACTTACAGTGAAGTTGTTTCTGTCTGTCAGCATAGGACACCCTTGACCCCTGGAGATCTGAAGCCATTTGGCAGTGGCAATGTAGTAAGGTGACAATGTGTTGTCGAAGGCTTTCGTGGCCAGAATCACTAGATTGCTGTGAATTTTTTGAGCTGTATGTTCATGTTCTGGAAGCATTCTCTCCTGACGTTTCACCCACATCTATGACAGACACCCGCAGAGGTTGTGAGATTTGTTGGAAACTAGGCCAGTGAGGTTTATATATCTGTGGAATGTCCAAGGTGGGAGAAAGACCTCTTGCTTGCCTGAGGCAAATGTGAATGTTTCAATTGGCCACCTTGACTAGCATTGAATGGCTTTGCAGCTTCAAAGACTGGCTGATTCCTGTTTGGGGAAATCCTTTGTTGGGAGGAAAGAAAAGGAGGAAACCATGAAAATGAACAAAATCTGGATACCTGTATTAAAAAACTCTAAAATCAAGTCAGCAAATAAAGAGGAACACTAAAATGGGGGAAATCCTGACATGAAACAATCAGAGTTAGCTAACACCTCCCAGCAAAAGATACCCCCAGGCAGGAATCAGCCAATCTTTGAAGCCACAAGGCCATTTAATGCTAGGTGATGTGGCTGATTGCAACATTCATACTTGCCTTCAACAGATAAGAGTTCTTTCTCTCACCCTGGGCATTCCACAGATATATAAACCTCACTTGCCGTATATGTGGGTGAAATATCAGGAGAGAATGCTTCTGGAACATGGCCATACAGCCCGGAAAACTCACAGCAACCCAATAAGGTGACAGTCCAATGCGCTGAAGCAGTCTCAGCCTGACTGAACCATTTGGAGTTCACCTGGCTGCCACTGCGGGTTAGAGACAGTGTCTGTGACCATCCTTCTGGGCCAGTCCAGAGACTTTCTGTTTCAGTCTGACCTGTATTAAGTGGCCAATTGAAATGAGTGCCTTGAAATACTGTATTAAGTGCCTTTAAATACTGTCACCACCTCGTCCACCATTGCAAAATCAGCATTGTATCCCCAAATCCTGAGTCACCTATAGAGTTACATATGATGGGTTAGTTGCAAACAGTTTAGCATTAGCCACTGGATTACCATGGCGGCCCACATAGCAGATGATGCTTGCATTGACATCCTTTCTTTTGTATTTTTGAAAACATTTTCTACTCAACAAGCATATATCTGATTATACAAGCCCTGGGATGTTTCCTTTAAAAGTACACACAGTTACTTTTATTGAAACCTGGTTCTTGTTCCGCAGTAAATGTGTTCAGTTTACCCGAAAGACATCAGCAGCCAACTCTGCTTAAGTGTGATTTGTGGCTTGAGCATTAGACTAAGTTTGAGTAATTCAGTTCCTACACAGCCAGGGAAATCCACTGGGTGATTTGGGGCAAGTCACATTGTCTCAGCCTCGGAGGAAGAGTAACCCTCCCTTTGAAGACATTCTGCCAATTATGAAAACTTTAGTTTCCATTTGAAGGCACAGAACAACATCTAGTTATGAGAGTGCTACAACTGAAGTCTCTTTCTTATTACACTGTGTAACACGATTTTTGATCCTGGGTTATAAATGTCATTTCTTAATTAGGTCTGTCATAGAAACATGGGAAAAGTTAGCTAAACTGCAAAAGCTTTACACAAAAAACTGCACAGTGGTTAAAAATGGCACACTGAAAGGTTAAAAAGGTTAAAAATATCAGCCACAAAAACGACTACTACTTTCAAAGCAAGTACCGCACGCATAATTAAACGGTAAATAACACTTTTAAAGCAGAAACCACTTTTTCCAATTTTGTTATATAGTGCTCTTGATGCAAATGTGTGTGTATATGTGTGTGTGCTTTCCTCTCTTAACAGGAAATGAAGAAGCAGTTGGAAAATATGGAATTGCAGATAGGAGAGGAGAGAGAGTGTGTGTGTTTTTCAACTGAAATGAGATGGATGACCTTCTTAAGTCACCAGCTTCTCCCATGAAATCACAAAGCCTGGGCTCTCAAATTATGTAGCTTTATTCACAATTGAAAATGGAAGTACCAGTGAAATCCATAATAAGGAAATGGCTCCATTTCAGTCCAATGACAGGAAATAGTCTGAAATTGAGGCTGTCCCTTGGCAAGTGGACAGAGAAGTGCCACCAGGGGAATTAGTGTGATATAGTAGGTAAATTGTTGGCTGTAGCAGAAGGAAACTAGGATCCAATTGTCAGAGCCAAATTCTAACTGGGGTGAATGAAGTCCCCAGGTAAATATTGGAACATTAATCAGTTCCAGCACTGGTGGAAGCTAGTCTGTCATCCATTTTATTTTCCTCTGTCTGAATTGTCCTCACAATTTCCATTTGTCTTGAACCTTGTATTATACACATACTAGATGCCTATACTGGAAACACTAAGAATCAGAAGAGACAGAAAAGAAAATTTATTTATTTATTTATTTACTTATTACTTATTCTCAGTCCGTAGGCGACTCAAGGCAGTCAACAGGGCAAAATTCAATGCTTACAATGTCATAAATACAATTAAAAACATAACATATAATAAAAACTAAACAAATCAATACAATATAAATTCATAGTGTCTCATTGTTAAAAACATTGTCCGGACTCATTGTCTAGTCGTTCCATTTTCCTATGTCAGTTACTCTGCATTTGCAAATGCTTGTTCAAAAAGCCACGTCTTGACTTTTTTCCGTAATGTTAAAAGGGAAGTCACCGATCTAATATCTATAGGGTGCCCTTCCACAGCTGAGGGGCCACTACCGAGAAGGCCCTGTCTCTCATCTCTGCCAAACATACTTGTGATGAAGCCGGTAATGAGAGCAGGGCCTCCCCAGATGATCTTAAGGTCTTAGATGGTTCATTAGGGGAGATACTTTCGGACATGTAAGTTAGGCCGGAACCGTTGACAGACTGCTGTTCCGTAAGATAATGAAGACAAATGTGGTTCTATTTCATAGTAGAATCAATCATTTCTCTTCGGGGTCCAATGTGCTTTCTATTTTCTTACCAAATTTTAATTAGTTTTTCAAACCAGCATTTGTATGTATAGGTAAATGTATATTCTCTTCTTGCACTACTTTTCAGATCGTTTGGCAGACCCTTTATATGGACCAAATTTGAACTCTTTTACTGGTGCAATTTTATAACATAGGGTGCATCTGCACTGCAGAATTAATGCAGTTTAACACCCCTTAACTGACTTGACTAGATGTTATAGAATCATGGGAGTTGTAGTGTTGCAATGTTTTTTGTCTTCTCTGCCAAAGAATGCTGGTGCCTCACCAAACCACAACTCCTAGGCTTCCGTAGCACAGAGCCTTGGAAATTAAAAGTGTTGTCCAATTGCACTCAATCTAAAGTGTAGATGCAACTTTCTCTTTTGTTTATGTAGTCATTTAAGCATTTTTAAATAATATGCTGGTGTATATATATGAAGACACACATACACACACACACATGCATATCCCAAAAGGTCTGAAAAGTGCAGCAAAAAGAGGAAAAGATGAGTAAGAAGATTGCAGCTATTGGCTGTTCCCCATTCTCAGATCTGTATGGGCATTTTCGTTTCTGCCTCTATAAATATTTATGTGGAAATAATCCCTGCTGACTAAAGTTAGCAGGATTTATTTCCTCTTAAACTTCACTGATCAATGTGGGATTTTCTTCTTAAGTAAAACATGGCTAGAATTAGGTTGGCAATGAACCAGATTGTTGTTTAGTCTCTAGGAGCTCCAGAGCAACTTCAGCCTATGGGCAAGTAGGGTTCTCACACACAGGACCCATGGGGTCAGCAGACAAGGGAATCCCCATACTATGTTGCATTCCCTTATTTTTAGCACAGATTAAAAGCCTCTTGCATGGGACGATCCCACATCTCTGAAGTTCAAGTGTCTCCTTGAAAATGTTGCAACATTCCCAGGCTGACACACCCACTGTGTTTGGGAATGTCGGAGCAACTTAAGCCATGCAAATTTGTTGGCAAACCTCCATCTCCCCATAAATACTCATTGCCAGGATT